TAGGATTTTAGGTATTGGGAAGGGTGGGGTGATAAACTGCACCGAATGATCTTCAAGGATTCAGCTCAAAACCTTATTCAAACGTGGAACGCTCGCTTTAGATTGTCTAGAATGCGCAAAGAAATGAACACGACAGTAGTGCGCAAACCGTTGAAATCTGCCTCTAATAACTGTACGTCTTGTAGCGGTCAAAGTAGGCCCGGCTACCACCTATAGATAATTATGTTGGAGAAGTCTGGGTAAAGAATCTAGCCCATATTGAATGATTATCACCACCGCCTGCTTAAAACGCAATAGTGCAAACAGTGGTAATCGCATGGACTATAACAGCAGCAGCCTCAACTTCACTTCTGCCAAATGGTGAGACACGTTTGGGGATCCCCTGAAAACTAACATGTAACTAAACGTGACGAAAAAATGTTGTTCATGCAAAGTGTAAGTGTAAAATCTCTTTTCTGTGATGTGTGCCTGTCGGCTACACTTGACGTGCTCATGTTATCACGCCTTTTCACACCAAAATGGAAATGTCGGATAGCCGATATCCCGGATGACAACTAAGATACGATGTGCATGAGCAAATGACGGCAAAATGGGCCAGGGGTGTATCACCAACAGTGGATTAGCAACCGTCTGGACAAGCACACCCAACCCAACGCCGCGCTCGCCCGCTGCGGACCACTCAAGCGGCGGGGTTTGTCCCGACACTAAAAGACTTGCTAAGTGCACTGCAAAAGGCTACGTTTCTGGAAGCAAAGCTTCCCCGGCAACTTCGCGGAAGCTTCTGTGAGCGGGGCTCTGATGCTAGCCTCCTGCAAGTAGGGGATCAGCCGGACAAATATATTTAAAGTCCGGTAGCAACAGCGGGAAGGTGATGCCAAAGCAGTGTGATTCATGCACAACAAATTGAAAAAGCCCCGCTAGCAACGGCAACAATGTGGTGTCACTTGAGTAAGGAATTCAAGCAACTAAACGTTTAAAGCACGCTGAGGGTAATGCTGCACAGCGCCGTCCCACTGCTTCCCACGACGCCCTGACGCCTCGTGTCTCCCTCCATCCGCGGAGTCCTGCCGCCTCAGAGGCGCCCGTCCGGCGCCACCCACGCTGTCGGGTGATGCCGGAGATAGCGGCGAACAGGGGCGAGCCAAGATCGCTGCACAGGCGGGATTACCGCTGCAGTCGAGGAAAACGGAGCATTAGTCCGCAGATGGTGCCTGTTGCGAATGGTCGGAGTCCTATAAAGCAGCAGTGCACGCGCGTCGTATTTATGTGATGCTGACTACGCCTATGACGCTTTACAGCTAGCAGAAGATATCAAGAACGATTCTTGCCTCCCCACACACGCATACACTGGTTAGTGGCTGAAGCACCCCTGGCAGCGTCGGGCGTAGCGGGGGCGACACCGTCCCAGCCGGGACGCCCGTGCCGGCACCAGGGGCGGTTGCCGCTCCCTGTAATTATCCTCCGGGGAGGGGCCGGCGGCGGCGACTTGGCGCCAATACCCCCCCCCCCCCCTCCCCCTCTTCCGATACCTCTCGTATGGCCGGGGAAGGGAGGGCTGGCGGAAGCGTCCCAGTCGCCGTCTTAGTGTTTCTGTGGCAGACTGACCTGAGTCGATATCGGACACCGGATATCGGATACATCCACCGTCATTAGAGACTCAGTTGTTTTTAAGATGACAGCTCGCGGCCATCCTCCCCCCCCCCCCCTCCCCCCGCCTCCCCCGCAGTCAGGGATCTAGTCCGCAGAAGACCGCCGTGCTGACCGGCGTTAACACGCATACATTGATTTCAGTTTGATGTGCTTTTTGGGGGGGGGGGGGAGTAGGATTCCTGACTGTTTAGGACAATGCATAACATAAACATCACAATTCGAAAAGTGTCATCCATGGAGACAGAACAGTGTGCCCTACATTTGAGTTGGGGCCAAGCCAGCAACCTAAACTGCGTAATTTCTATCGTGCCGAATCACATTCTAACGGCAGTTTGCCATCTGCAAGGTAAAAATAAAATGTAAAAGATCGGTAGTGTCTGGATCACGCTGCGAAAACCGCTTTCCGAGATTCGTACCCAGAAGCTCAATATCAGTACTTTAAGTTTGGTTTTACTTCAGTCAATAAGGTGAAAGTAAAATTGCTGAATTGTATCAGTTTCCAGCCGCTGCAAGACCACACCTCTAATTTCAGCTTATTTTCCCCATAACAAATGTTAAACAGCTTCCTGAAGACTGGTGTAACTGATTTTCATCCAATATAAGCAGTATAAAATTCTGGTTGGGAGTTTGGGCACCGAAGAAATGCGAGGAGAGGACCAGTTCTCCTTCATGCAGTGCCTTGAGGTAGGTTTCCTTCTCAAGTTTTCTTATCTAAAGTTCATTTGGCAGCGTGGCGTCATGTTATTTTTTCATCGTTTTTTTGTGGCCGAGTTTGCGAATAGGCAGCTGTTATTGTAGACGTACAATAGGAGTGACTTCCTTTCTCCTGGGTGGGGAGGGAAGCGCAGTTTAGACTTTAAGGCACTACATGTTTGGAGTTCAAAGGCTTACACTAACAGACTTTTAACACACCGGAACGTGTGTGTGTGTGTCATCGGAGCTAACGGTGTACGCAGCTGCTGTGGCTGTGTAGCACCACCTGCCCCTCATTTTGGCAGGAAGGGCGGGCATTGCCAGCAATCGACTCACACACCTCCGGTTTCCTAGACACGCAGGTCGCACTCGTGATGCTTTGGCATAATGGGTTGGGAGTTCGTAAAAATAATTGCTTAACACAATAATTAAAATCAACACAATAATAAACACAATAACTCAGGATGCGAAGAGATACTTGCTAAATTACGTCATCAAGCCAAGAATGGTTAAATTGAAGAAAAAACAACGTTTCGAAACTGTGCTTATGGTCAGTTTTCTTGGTGAAAATCAATATTCTCGCAACACCACATCAAAGTTTTTTTTCACTCCGGAGCACACAAAACATGTCGGTTAATTCTTCGATACCTTTTAAGTGACACAAACACATGTATACCACCACACTGTACTAAAAACGGATAGACACCATGATCCCGCATTATAATTCGGCACACACAACCATGACCACTAAAGAGACAGACCTTATACCACAAATACGAAGGACGGCGGGTGCACTCTCTGGTCCCCAGTCGTGGGAAAGTAGTCATGCTAAAATATTCCGTATTTTCCGTGAGATCCTAGTCCCTGAACACCGAGTGGGCCCCGGCCCTAATGCAACAGGTTCTCAACTTTGAAAAGCAGGGGCGTACACACATGGTACACACACATGGTACACACACATAAACTAAGGAGTGCATCCTTGTTTAACACGATACATCCGGCTTCCGATGAAGTCGTAGGCAGGCGAAACAATCACGTGTCAGTCGGCTGGAGGAAAAATATCGCCAAAAACGTGGTTAATCTCCTGCAACCTGCGCCTGGGGTTTTAGGATCATTGTATGGCGGCAACACGGAACGTAGCGTTCTTCACCGGTTCAAGAAGACCTTTGAGGCGCGCGTTTACGGAGAGCGTACGCACTACCAGGTCAGTACATGTTTGCCTGATACGCGGTAATGGAGAGCGGTGCAAAAAAGAACAAGCTGGAAACATAAATATTATGCTGGCTAGAAATCGTATTACTGTAGAGATTATTATGATTATGATTATGATCATATATATATATATATATATATATATATATATATATATATATATGTATAATAAATATCATTATTATCAAAATGATTGGAACTCTTATCATTATGGAGCGCGTCGGCTGCTGAGGCCATTCTGCACTCTGCAGGTAGAGATATTAGCAACAGCAAAAGATGACGTGGATCTCAGGGTAGAAATGTGCCTAGTTCTCAGCTTTAATTCTTGGTTCCAACCAGCTCCTTTGGCAAAACGAACCCTGAATCCTGACTCCCACTGGTTCTTCTGATAAAATAAAACCACGAATCCTGGTTTCTGCCGAACATTTCGACAAACCAAGATCCGGGATCTTGGTTCTAATTTGTTCTTTCGACAAAACGGACACTGGATCCTGGTTCCTAGTGGTTCTTCCGACAAAACAAAACAAAACCATTGATCCTGGTTTTTGCTGCATGTTTCGGCAAACCAAGATTCTAGATTTTGGTTCTCTCTGGTTCTTTCGACAAAACAAACCCCTGGATCCCGGCTCCCACTGTTTCTTTTGAAAAGCCACACCTTGATCTAGCTCCTTCTGGTTTTTTGCGGGCCATTGGTGTGGTTACTGGCTCGCATTGCTTTTTTATACTGGGCCTTACATGCCAGTAGTCACTAATATTCTATAATTACAGGATTCTGCCTCACGGTTTGCAGCCACAAAGTCATGCATGTCAAAGCCACAGTGTAGATGTCAAAATACGGCATGGATATAGGCTGATGAGAATTTTGAAAGCGGGTCGATGGATCACAATGCGCCAGGTTTTTCATGCGCCTTCATTTCAAAACATTTGGTTGGCCGTTTAGTTCCTCCTCAGTGCACCGATGCCTTGCGGACGTCCGACGCAGTGAATGTATTTTTTGTAGACTGGACATGGGACAGTTCGCTTCGTTGTCTTTTCTAAAATATTACAGGTCTGCCCTAAAAGCTGAAGGAAAACCAGACACGACGGCCAAAAACTATTTTACAGACGCTTTTAACGTTTTGGACTTTTAGTGTCGCATTGACGTCATTATCGTGGTACCTCAGCAGGTGTTCTTGTTTCAGCCTCGTTTACAACATTCCTTGCATCCACTCGTGCGTCTTGATTGTCATCACTGGCATGAGTTGTTCGGAGCTGGTGGTTGATTGGTGGACGGGCGGCTGAGAAAAGGAACTTAATACTGTTGTTTCTCAGGGAATTATTCTCGTTTGGTTTACTTAGAATAAACGTAAGTTTATTTGTAATGATTTGTGCGGGGAAGTGTATTTCAGCTCCAGTCACAAAAACATGATTAGTCATTATGGCGCTTTCAGCGTTCTTGCATGCTTGGCGTTGCCCTGCGGACCAGTAATTGCGTTAGGTACCCTATGTGTGTAACTACAGGCTTCTATGGTCTGTTATCTTGTAGCTTACTGCGTGCCTTTAATCTTAATTAGGTTGAAATGCAGTGAATGCTGGTAGTCTAATGTAATGCATTTCACTTTGTTGTATATTAACCTCATTTTCTGATGCCATAAGTATCTCCTGTATGTTAAGCTCATTTTGTCCTATAGTGTTTCTTCCTTGTATTAAATTTACATCTCTGTTTCCATGTATGCATGATAGTTACATTTTGCTATGGTGACTGCTTCACTCACATTTGATTCTGCATTTTGTGTAATACTTCTGCAACCAATAGGCAAAAGATATGAGGTGTTATGCCAGAATGGAAGATGCCAAGTTCATGGTTTGGCTTATTTTCTCTGTTTTTACTCTTTCAACAAAAAATATGTGAAATCATATCTCCTGACCATCCTCACACTTCCCACCTCACCTGAGTTGTTCATGAAATCTTTGATGCAAAAAAGAGGTGATATGTAGTCACTATGGTTCTGAAAAGTCTGACTGCAGTAAGGCAATTATAAAGAGCTGATGTATCTTGGTAATTCCTGTGAACAAGCTTGAAATAAAAGGCACAGTTGCAGTGTTGGGAACAGCCTGTACAGGCTCACAATGTGCAGTTATACCATGTCTTCAGAAAAGTTACAGTATATGTCTAAAGACATATCATGCAACCTTTGAGTGATATCCTTGATGTGCACCCCTAGCAACAGAGATTGGTGTTTGAGGAGACTGGTGGTGATGTCATAGCATCTGGTTTTGAAGGCTAACAGGTGCACACCAAATTTTACAGCATCAGAAAAGTAAGTTTCAGTTGGAACAAAATATGACATTTGCATTTCTGAAGGGTACGACTCTCAAGATGCAGGTTTTTCCCTGTTGGCTATGGGTGCTGATGTATATTGGTGTTTTGCTGCTTGCTGTCAGTTGGTGTTTTGTATAACATCCCAAGATTGTCAAAATATAGGTTGCTGATGATGATTAGTGGGGTTTTAGGGTTAGCTAGCTACAATGGATATTTGGCTCCCAATACAGGATACTGTTGGCTGCAAACAGAAACCACATTTTGATCTGATGTTGGTGGGCAATGTTTGCTTTCCCATTAATTGGAATTATGAAGCCATATAACAATATACTATATATGCAGGAGTACCACTTTCCAACATTAACACCAACATTGGTCATCCAGAGTAGGACTGCACCACCTTACCTCCAAAATAAATTTGAGACATCCCTTTTGTGAACAGCATGCTGATCATTAAGATGCAACCATGCCAAGTGAGGTCAATATTACTAATTACTGATAACCCATTGCTTATACAAATCAAGTGTCCAAGGATGATGCAGCCAGTGGAATTTATACTGGTATTAATGCCTTAATGCATGTGATGTAGTGCAATTTTGATTGATGTGAGTTGAGTGCCTGTGCTATTGGGGATTTACAACAAACTCAGTTGCTGAGGCTACATGGCATTGCTTGCCTCTTACCCTGGCAGGGAGTGTGGGTACTGTTGGTAGTCAAACCTTGTACCTGTGCAGGTTAACTATTACACTATTGGTACCCTGACTTGAGTTGAAATGATGGTGGGATTTAACCTTTTGCCAGCCTAAGAAATGGGACTGCTTAATCCGTCATTGACATTGCAGGGAGTCTGTGCAGTTTGACATTTGCTGTGTTCATACTATGCAAAGGAAAGCTTCCACACACTTTGATTAGATGTCCATTAGGTCATTGCATTTTAGGCTAATTGGCTGATATTTCAGTATTATTGGCTGGTGAATCATGTAATTTCCTGGTGTCCCATTCCTGCTAACAATGCATTGTTTTATGATGAATGGCTTTCAGTTTCATTTGTCATGTCATGTCACATGTCAATTTGCTTTTGATGTCAGGCAAGCAACACAATTGTGTGCCATTTTATGCTTCAATGTGGTGTTAGGTCGAAAATGATGCTTCACTTTTGAATACAAAACAGCATCTGGTCTTGGTTTCTCTAGGAAGTCTCATTATGCACAGTTGTCCTTCCTTATTTTTTCATTTAATATGCTATCATAATATGTGTAATATGCCTTCATAGTGAGTAAACAGCTTCCATTTCCTGTCGTTTGGGAGGCAAGCTTGTATGAGAAAATATTCAATATGCCAAGAGGCACTGTATTAGTGATCTTGGCAAGCAGGTATTGACATGCATAACATACAGATGTATTACATATACATATACATCATATGCATTGACATACATAACATTTTCCAGCAAGCATTGTCACCCATGGTCATAAGTAACACCTTTAAACATTGAATTGTCTGGAAAGCTGTATCAATGCTTGTTTGATAACACTATTTAATCAGAATCTCCTGTAAGGGTGATTTTTGCATCAGAACTCATACATGTTTTAACACAACAAACACAAATTGTTGATAGCATTGCTGGAGGTCATTTCCAGGCGCCAGCTTCCACTTGCCAACATTTGCGTCGCGCGTGACTTCCCTACACCCGGGTGTTCGCTGGTGAGAGCTCAAGCCGGATAGCAGACTGCAGTGGGGGGGGGGGGGGGGGGGGGTAGCACCTGGGGCATGTGTCATGCAGGGCGCCCACTGGTCCAGTCACGTGTGCAAGCAACGACGCAGTGGGACGTTGTGAGCGCTCTGCGGCATTGACGGCTACCGAGCGATCCGAACTGATGTGTGACTTCTGCGGTTTGTATTGTACTCGCTGCCCTTTGCTTCTGTGAAGTTGAAAGCTGGAACTGTGGCATTGTTTAGAGGTCGTAGTCGGCGAATTTCATGCTTAAATGCGTCGCACCCAGATCAGCTGGCGCTGTCATTGGAACATGTCCAACGGTAAATGCAAGGACAAAGACGAATGCCTACAGCGGGAGTCCGATTATTTGCAATATGGAGTCAGATGGAACACTGCAGGTCGCACCGCTTTAGCATGAATGAATTCATTATCTGGACTTCGCTGGGCGCCCCAGCTAGTGCGTCATCTATAATGCATTATGAGACCGCAGGCTCTTGTTCTTCTGTCAGTCATGAATTCAAGTCCCAGCGTTATTCCCACTCAAGCTGAGATTAGAAACTCGTCCGAATGCGGACACCAGTTGCAAACAGCAGCACAGTGGGATGATTAATTTACCACCATCAGAACCGCAATCCGTATGTGCTTTTAGTCATTTGCATTTGCGTCCATTCTACACGCCATTGAGTTCAAATATTGTCCGAAAAATTGGCGTCGAAACCATCACCGACAACCCGCCAGGTTACTGGTAGAGGTTTTTCTTGTATTTTGGCACTTTTGATCCTTCTTGTATCTTGCTACTTTTGTAATCCAGTTGACCATGAAAGAAGCTATCAGCACGACCCTACCTGGGGTGCCGGTAATGTAGTGATTAACGCGTCTGCGATAGCCATTGCATGTCTGGGAAACCAGAGGTACCGGGCGATTCCCCGCGGTGCCCGCCCCTCCTGCCAGAGTGAGAGGCAGGCGACGCCATATAGCCTCAGCAGCTGAGTGCGTCGTTAACCCCCAGTGACATGACATGACACGACCCTGCCTGACTCCGCGCACCCTATCCGCAACAGCCCAGCCATGGACATTTACATGATGATCCGGCGCCAGAAGACCACCATCTTCACCGACGCCAAGGAGAACACGTCCGTGGCGGAGCTGAAGCGAATCCTGGAGGGCATCCTGAAGGTGGCGCCCGAGAACCAGAAGCTGCTCAAGGACGAGACCGAGATGGAGGACACTAAGACGCTTCAGGTATTCTGGCCCGGTCAAAGTCTCGCCGCGCCCTTCTTGTCGCGGGGGGGGGGGGCTCTGTAGCGCTCCATGAAAGCCTCCCCGTCCCCCGTCCCCCCTCTTGGGTCTTTCCTGCTCGACGCACGCGCTTCGCGTGTGTGCTCCAGTCCAGCCCTGTTCGCTGAGCCAGCTGCGTCGCCATCGTCGGGTGGGGTGGTGGGTGGGTGGTTGGGTGGTTGGGTGGTTGGGTGGTGGTGGTGAGGGGGGGGGGCATCCGTGACGGCATGAAGGAAGCCGACGTTGAGACACATGTTCCCTCGAGGCGGGTCGGCACGTGCCATGGGCCCCCTTGGTGGGCCGGGCGTGGTCTTTTCTGGCCGCGCGCCGGTGGCGGGCCAAAGCCAACACTGATTGCTGGGGGACAGCCAGACCTATGGGGGCCTCCCTCCCGGTTCTGCTGCACTTTGCCCCCCCCCCCCCTTCCGCCATGCCAGTCCTCTCGCAGCGGAAGACGAGGCTTGGTTCCGGCCCCTAGTGCCGCGCCAGGTCATCAGGTCCGCGTCCGTTCGCGTGGCGTTGGCGGGCTGTACTGGAAACTCTTTGGACGTCTGAAGTGCTCGCGGGCGGCGATCGCCCGGTGGGGGCGTGGCGTATTGACGGCTGTTTCATTCCTTGCTGGGAACTTGCCCCAGTTCTCACTCCTGATCCGCCGCATGATCAGGATATTATCGTTCAAAGCTGCTCCATGACGCATGGGCGCCGACTCAACCGCGGGTCATGGGTAATTTTCCAGATGTGAGTGTTTTCCCAGACTTTTACGTAACGCGCGCGTGAGAAAACTGCCTCGATTCCTGTGTCGTCCAACGTTCCTGTGTTTTAACGTCACTGTAGTGTGATGCCACCCATGCAGTCCGTGTGTGGTTTGCCATGTCGATGGCGTCACTCTTATCCTGCCGGCCAATGACACGCCGCCTCCGCCGCGCAGGACTGCGGCCTGACGTCATCGACGGCGCAGGCGCACAAGCCGGCCACACTGGTCCTTTGCTTCCGGCAAGAGGATGGTAAGTGTGCCACGCCGTTCCGGTTTGGCCCCAATCTGCAGCCTCGCCTGCAAAATAAGGTCTTAGTCCGCCTTTTTCTGCTCCTGTGCGTCTTACGCCGGCTCTGCGGTCAGCAGGGTCCGCTGCACATGCTCGCTTCGTTGTCTTCAGACGCAAGCTTCAGGCTCGGTGGCAGTGTCTGATTTTGCTACGCGCCGCACCATCCGCCTGTGATGTGCGCAGCTGCGGCCCTCCTCTGACGGCTGGGGTCGGCTCCACGTGGCCCCGTGCAGCCTCGGGTCCCAGCGATCCCAGTCGTGCCCGGCTTCGACACGTGACCCCGTCCGGCCCCGGGTCCCAGCGGTCCCAACTGTGCCGAGCGTCGGTGTCGTGTCTAATTCGGTGAATGTCAGTCGCGGTGCCCCGAGTTGTGCCGCGGCTTCCTTGTGGGACGTCGTCGGCTCGGCTCATGCGCAAATGGTGCAGCGTGTCGGCCTGTGTTACCCCTGAGGGCGACTTCGGGGGCAGCGGTGTAACTATCGTGAGTGTGACCTCACGAACTTGGGTGCAGCTCTTCTGAGTGTGACCTCGCGAGCTCCGTTATAACCCCTGAGTGTGATCTTCCGAGCGCCGTTATAACCCTGAGTGTGATCTCGGGAGCTTCGTTGTAACCCCTGGTTGCGACCTCACGAGCTTCGTTGTAACTCTCCTGGGGTCACCTCGACTTACGATGTAACTCCTGAGTGTGACCTCACGAGCTTGGGTGTAACTCTGAGTGTGACCTCGTTGGACGTCGC